GGATTAATTAAAGTGTTTTCTTGATATACTAGTCGTATATCAAAACAACGCTCATATAGTGTTGAGGCGTTCAATAACATTTACTTTATTCAAATTAGTTTTCTATCCAATTTAGATTGCATACAAGGTAGTTGCCACCTATGTCAATATAAAAAATATTTTAATATTGTGACTTGTGAAAATGAAAAGTGACCAAATTTTGCAGCTTTATAAAACGAAACTACAAATATACAAAAGAAAAATTGATAATTTTACAGAACAGCTCTTCTAATCACTCACTTGTTATCAGTAAGCTCTGTTGCTTCAGGTTTATTGAAATTGCAATCATCAGCTATTTCTTCATTTATATTTTCATTTTCCTTATCGCCATCTTCTTTGTTATTTAAATTGGAACTAGCAAGTCTTTTGTCGACGGCTAGCTGCTGTATATACTGTTGATAATGCTGATCTTGTAACTGTCTTATTAGAACCGCTTGCTGGTCAACATTACCGGGAAACTGTTGCTGGGCGTACTGGAGGAATTGATCGTATGTTTGTGCGTTCAAAGCATCTTTTATTCGCTGACTGTAAAGGAAAGATTACAATACATTTCAGTTTTTAGTAAAATATCCGCGCATTTTATCTTGGCCGGGCTTGGCTTTCCAAGACATTCGCGCATGTACAGACGCTAGTCGACAGAGATGTGCCACTTCATATTTGCTCTTAAAATTGCTTAAGGAAACAATTTTTGTTTACATCGATTATAGAATAAATTGAAAATTATTATTATAATGAAACTATCTTTGATTATTTCAATAAAACAATACTCGTAGTATCTAATAAAGTATTACAATGAACAGTGTGAATAAATAAATACAGGATTGGTTTTTTTTTTAAACTATACCTCCACACTAGGATTTTCTCCTGTATTGAGCGGGCGTTTTTAAGTTCGCGGAATGGGTAGGTAGGTAATAAGTGAAAAAAAAAAAAGTAATAACTGGGGACGTCGCTGAATTACGCGCTAATTGAGCAACTCATTATTAGTATAAATACCGGGTTTTATTGTAATTAGATCATTAGTCTTTGAGTTATCGCCAACCAAACAAGTCAATCGGGAAGAAATTGTGAAATATGGAGAAAATCGAATTCTGTGCCGTTATAAAGTTCCTTACCAAGCGCGGAAAATCAGTTCATACTATACGGGAAGAGATGTTATCCGTTTACGGAGACTCTTGTCCAAGTAAAACTATGGTTTACAAGTGGCATACCCTTTTTAAACAAGGCAGAGAGTCACTTGAAGACGAGACCCATGGGCAGGAAGGCCGATCGAGGTGACCACTTCGGAAATTATTCAAAAAGTCGAAAAATTAATATTAGAAGATGCCCGCCTAAAGAAAAAACAGCTCGCAGAAATGGTTGGAGTATAAGATACAACCATTTTCAAAATTCTTCATGACCATCTTGGTATGACTAAAGTCAGCGCAAGATGGGTGCCTAGAATGCTCACGCCGCCTTAAAAGCAACAGCGCGTGGAGTGTTCTCGTGCATTTTTAGATCTCTGTATGGAAGACAAAGATGGAGTGTTGGCACGAACTGTTACTGGTGACGAAATTCTGTTCACCATCATGAACCTGAGTCCAAGCAGGACTCTATGCAGTGGCACAAAAAAGGCACACTACCACCCAAGAAATTTAAGATGGCAGTCTTTTGGGACTCGGAAGGAATCCTATTGATTAATTATAAAGATAAAGGTGTCTCCATAACCGGAAATTACAACGCTTCAATCCTAGAATAATTCAAGGAACCCATAAAGGAGAAAAGAAGGGGAAAATTGTCGAAAACAATCCTTCTTCTGCACGACAGCGCGCCTGTTCACAAGTGCCATGTTGCGATGGCTGCCCTGCAGAAGGTGGGTTTCGAAATTTTGCCACACCCACCCTATAGTCTTGACCTGGCCCCCAGTGATTATTATCTATTTCCAAACTTAAAAAAAGAACTTCGTGGGAAAAAGTTTTTAAGTGATGAAGAAGTGAAGGAAGCAGTTTCGGCGTATTTTTTAGACAAAGACAAATCATTTTTGAGGGTATACATATGTTAATTGAAAGATCCGAAAAATGTATTAGGGTAGCAGGTGAATATATTAAAAAGGAAAAATAAATTTGGATATTAAATTTCACAAGGACAAACATCTAGACCCGGAATAATTATTTGTAGGCCATTAAAATTTATTTATTCAAACTGTTTATCGTAAATAAACTTTAAATTTTTCAATGAAATGTTTTATAGACATCATCATAAATAATCACTGTATTTCATGCCGGCACACCGCTTGCAACTTTATAAGGCAACAGATGCCCCACATGGAATACTGTTCACATCTCTGGGCCGAGGCACCCCAGTGTCAGCTCCTTGTTAATAGGATGGCAACGCACCTACAATTCCCCTGTTGCTGTCGCTTATGGGGCGGCGGTAGGCACTTACCATCAGGGGAGCCGCATGCTCCTTTGAGGGCAATTCTTCTATAAAAAAATCTCTCAGGAGCAGAAAGGCGTATGCTACGCTGCTTCAGTACGAATTGACAGATTTCTTATGCCTTCACATTTCATCATCCAGATATTTTATAATCCTTTGCAGTCGGGCACGTGATGTATTGCGAATACAATTTCAAATAGGTTCAAAGTTAAAACGAGTGCCCAGCCCCTTAGAAACTACTAACTCAGCCACTTCATCAATATATGTCATCGGTTATAAGTATTATGTAATAGTTCCATCAATTTCGATTTCACATATTTGTCACGCTTAAAGCATTTTTTCATTGGCCTATAACGATATATCACCAACATACCTCAACAGCACCAACATTTTCCAGAAGCTTTTTGATACATTACAATTACAATTTCAAAGCATTTCAAATTTTATACGAGTATCCCTGATTATGTTATAAATTATAATACATTTTGTTCTAGAAAATAGGATAGGCTACAATGTTCTCAAAAACATATTTCAACTCTCGGACATGAAGCATTCCCCTCCTAGAACCTTTATTTAAAATAACAATAAAATCCACGCCAACAATGAGTTACAATTTTATATTAACTGTCAACACTTTTACTACTTTTTCAAGTAAGGCAATGCAGAAAGGAATAAACAATTTCCTATTTTAATAAGTATACTTACACTTGCTGCTCTTCTGTTGACTTTGTACTCTGTTGTTTTTGCTTTTCTAGAATTATTCTATTTTGTAATTCCAAATGAGCCCGCTCTTCCTCTTTTTTCTTTAATCTGCAATCAGTACAAATTGTATGAATTATTTATATATGAACACTGAATGTTTATTATGAGCTTTAAATCATTATTTTACAAAAAAAAAACTCATTTATGCTCACCCGTAATGGTTTATATGAAAAAAGAATTAACTATGAAAATAATACACAAAATTTAAATGCACATTACAAACAACGTCTCTTACATTTCTCTGTTCAAATAGAACGTTATTTATACTTTTTATTGGCTATTTGTAACTAAGCTCAGTGATCCAATACCACTTTAAATGTTTGGCAAAATAGCACAAATGTTTGGGTCAATTAAAATTAAGTTAAGACACTTACTCCCGATGCTTCTTGTCTTCTAAGTCCTTGTGTATGGCTTCTAAGTACGGTTTGAATAATGGACTCAACCTGTTAACAACAATTCTTTTGTTCGTGAATAATATTTACTATGCAGTATAGCTGCAATGTGCAGCTCTTGCCTGCATGGGGAGGCCTGACCAGGGAAGGACCACACTCTCAGGGAATACCAATCAAAAGCACTATAATGCTGCATTCTAACTGTAAGTAACAAGAACCAGGGGGCCTACTACGAAGTCTTATTGCCGGTCAGTTTAAGACCGTAAACTGAATTGCCTTGCTTTGTCGTACTACGAACGCGTCTTATTGCAGGCCAACCTGTGATGACGTAACGAAACATTTCAGTGGCCGGCAAGCTAGCTCAACGTTTTAAATCGGTACTATGAACTCACTTTTGACGTTTGTAACAGAGTTGTGACCCGTTTATTGAACAGTGTATCTGTCATATTAAACACTTCAATAAAAGTTGCTTGGTGGGAGCTTTTTCTGAATCGTTAAATATTCTAATAGTATAATAGTAAGTATTAAAAGTGTTTCTTGAAGTTATACATGCTTAATTGGGTTTCTTGCTTTAAAATTGTTATATTATTTACATAATATACATAATAAAATTCTCTAATTGTTCTTTGTGCATTAATTTCAGTGTCTATTGATTACGAAACTTTTGAGTTCCTCAAAGAGTACAATGAAAGCAAAATTGTGGAGGACAAAATTGAAAGAACAATATTACGGAGCTAAATCGACCCGTTTTCGATCGGTGACGGTGAATTTGTAAAACGATATAGTTTAAGCAAAAACTTAGTGTTGGAACTTTGTGATGATTTAAGACCTTGTATGACAAAGCCTGCTAAGTTTACTGATTTGTCGATCGAAACCAAGGTTGAGTATTAATTAAAACATTAATTACTAGTAAAACATTACTAAAAGTGATGTGTATTTAATGCAGTTTTAGCAAAAATTCGTACTGAATATTTTTTATATTTTTTTACAGTTTTTACAATTATTTTTAGGTCTTAATTGCACTGTCTCTCTATGGTATGCTCCCATATATATATATATATAAGATTTCCAAGAGCTGCTTGCTGTACATATAAGTACAAATTTAATACATAATTTTAATTGATTATAACAACAACTTCTATTATTAGAACCATTGAACATTAATAATATCTACCATTATATCATGCAGCAAGCTCAGCAAAGATTTATAATTAATATGACATTGAAGATTTTACAACAAATTTGAGATGCCTGGAGATTTAGGCTGCATTGATTTTACATATGTGGCAATGGTCCGTCCTTCACAAAATGAAGAGAGACATTACTGTAGAAAACAGTACCTATCATTCTTTAAATATGCAGTTGGTAAGAAATATTGTAATAAAACCACAAATTCAATAATGTAATTTTATTGATACATAAATCATTTAAACACTAAGTATATATTTGAATTAATATTTTAGATATGCAATATAGACATGGATATAATCAGTGTAGACGCAAGTTTGGGGAGCTTCACATGATGCTTTTATATGGGCACACATGGAAGGCCTCGGCACAAACGAGACGATATGCTTCTTGGTAATGACTTTACATAATAATAAATAGATAGGTACATAATATACATAATTGCCATGTTTCAGATGTCTCCTAGTGCATAGTGTTACATTATGAGCCTCACATGGTGGCTTCTATTATAAATGCATGTGTGATATTGCACAACATATGCAATAAGACTAATGTCAGTGTAGAAGAGCTGCAGCCAGAAGCAGCTTTGTATGAGCATGAATCGCAACGATTAACTTCTCCCTGCCAGGATTCTGCAGTAAATTCTAGGGCCGCACAAAATCCAGAGCTCCGAGAAGGCATAACGGTCAGAAGTAACCTTATCAATCACCCATGGATATGTCGGAGAGCAACCTGAAAATAAATTTGATTTTAAAACTATGGTTTTTTTGTTTAAATTTTTCTATTAGATTTATAGAGAATATTTTGAAAAGATATAAAATAAATATTAATAGTATCTAGAATACTTTTTGTATATGTCAAAACTTATTGAGTGACCTACGTATAATCTATGCAATTATTCGAACAATTTATTCTACTTAGATATTTTTATGCCAATAAATGATAGATCATATAGGACATAACGCAATTTTTAACATCTTTTATGACATACTTATGAATTATGATCAACAAATAAATATATTAATATTATTACTATTTTCAAAAATTTAAATATTATACAAACTAAAAACCCTTTCTACTTTTTTAAATCTATGTGGAGATTTTGGACTTATTCTCGCATTTATTTTGCTATCGTAATTTATAATAATCATCAAACAGTGCAAATTTATAACCATTTAAAAAAATCAGTTAAAAATTGTAGAGCCTTAATAGCTCTGAGACTAAGCGCTTGCCGAATATTTCACAATATGTATGCAAACAATTTGGGTTCGATCCCTGTCAGCAGTGAAACTGTTAATTGAAATTTTTAGTACTGATTTACCCTTAACTTAATTTATTCTATGTACAACATAAATATTTCTAAGCAACCTTCTCTCAATGCGTTCCAAAACATCTTGAATTCGATGAAGAACTTGCACGAACTCCGTAATATTGCGGCTATTACGAGCCTCCGTTTCAGCCCGCAATTGGGACGTTTCAACCAAGGCTCTTCTTGCTTCTTCCTGAGTAATACGCACACGTCGATTGCGTCGTCTTCTTTGTTGTTGTTCACCTCCAGTTGGTGCAACAGAAACCGCTTGTGTGGGATGTGCCTCTAGACTACTTGTAGGTGCAGTATGAGATATACAAGGCTCAGGAGCATGTACGTCTACAAGTACTGGTGGTTCACTTTCAGTCTCTAGCTGTTGCTGCTCTTGAACCAGTGAACTCCTGAGATTAACACCTTCAATGATTTCAATGGTATTAAGAACAACTTCTTGTTCCAAGGACTGTTGGACCTCCTGTAGTGGTATTTGGGACATATCTGAAGTCGATGCAGCCTGTAAATAATATAAAATGTGATGAAGCAATTATCATTACGAATTAAACTCTTTTGTCGCTACAAAATGCATGTAGCGGAATTTGTGTACATTGCACGAAATTTAATCAATATATCTACAAATAACTAAATAAGTTATCCCGAAGATAGATATCTTAGCTTAAGTCAAATAAAATTTAAACTTTGGCCACCCCATGGTTTAATGAGATACAAGAAAAAAAACTTACATTAATATTTGAATCTTCAAATGGATTTACACGAATACCAGGAAGGCCCAAACCAAAATCTTCACCTACAATATTTAAAAACTTCTTTTCTAAAGTTAGTCTCTCCATCAGTTCGAGATTGCGCAGATCTAATAGTAGCACACCGCTTCTTCAGCTTCCCCTTGTAATCAATCCAGTACTGAAAAAATGAAAGCTATTTTGAATATTCATATAAATAATATGCGTTTTCAACTTCAACAGTCCATAGACAGAAAAAAAATTACAATGATAAAAATTTACTCATATAATACTTACGGCAGACCAGCCTTTTCCGTCCTTAACGGCACCATCTCCAAATGAATTGAGGGTTTGGGCTACCTTCTCCCACATGCGGCGGGAAGTTTCTCGAGCTTGTGCACTTTTATTAAAGCCCACTGCAACATCCCTATTGGAATTTAAAAACTCCCATAGGATTTCTAATTGAGAGTATGTTACGCGATGACGACGTTGTACTTCAGCCATTGCTTCTTTAGTAATGAAATCACATTTCGCCTTTATTCTTAACGAAACCACACAATTCCATTAAAATATTACGGTACGAAGGGTGCTTACGTTTAAAATGGACATGGTAACTAATTTATTATCCACTTGACACACAAACATATTATAATAAATTCTCAAAAAGAGCACACAAACTAAATTTCGCCTCGACTTAAGTGACTTTACACCATCAATCACATCTCAAATTGAAAACACATATTCAAAAAGCCACTTTAATTCCTCGTCGTCATCGTAAATTAATAAACAAAACCCGTAGAAACAAAAAAAGGTTTTTGTTATGTTTGAATATCTTAAAAGCATATTACTACCTCATTTCAAATGGTAATAATTTAATACATTGTTAATTTATTTAGTATTAAAAAACTACAAGAATATAGGTTTCACTTTCAGACAGACCTTAAAATTAAAGAGATAAACTTATATAACATTTGTATAGCGTCCTCTCACTCGAACGGTTAGCCAAAACAAGACAGAGACAACGCTAACCCGTGATCAAAGCCGTTATATGGGTTTAAAACAGTTGAGCTAAGCGTAGTTCATAGTACCAAATAAAGCATTTCAGTTTAAGCTCAGAAACTGAACTGCTCGGAACTTGCCAAGTTTTATAAACACTTCGTAGTAGGCCCCCAGCACTTCTTTGTACTGGTACTGGTACACACTTTTATAAAAGAGGTAACAAACAAGCATGCGGCTGATTTGATGGTAAATGTTGTCTGTTGCCCATAAACAACTGCAACACCAAGAGAATCAATCGCAGGTGCGTTGTCGCGCTTAAAAAAAATTAGGTTCTTTAAGGTCGGGATTCCGTTTCGATATTCCGATTCGGGATTCCGTGAATGCATCACACACATACGCAAGGGTACAGTTGAGAGACGTTAGCCATTGAGTCTAGACATTCTGCCAGCGAATATTGACGACGATTTTCTGATTGCGATTCCATTGCTGCTGTATCATTCTTACTAGGTGTATCCCCTTATAAACCCTAAGCTTGCAATATAGTCAATATTATGTAAAAATATCTATCTATCCAGAGATATTTAATAAATATGGATGTATGTAAACCCTCTCGAAGAATTATTAAATTAAATAAGATGAAAGGTTACGAAAAGCTATACCCATATAAGATTAAATGTAAAAACATACATAAACACATCTACTCGCTTCGGTCGTGCGACGAACACTGAGCGCGTTCCGTACGGAATTTTTACGAATGTGTTCCGACTCATACAAAATCTATGGAAGACTTGCGTTCGGAGAGGCTTTTTTCCGTTCGGGATTCCGAACGCACAGGCGGTCATACGGAATCTCGAATCGGAGAAAATTCCGTACGGAGAATTACCGTACGTGTGTGGCGGGTCATAGATTTTATATGGACTTGCTGCGTTCGGAATTCCGAATCGAAATATCGAAACGGAATTCCGTATGTATGTGGCCGGCCTTCTTGAAGGTCCCCGTTATGTATTGATAATGTTGAGGGTAAAATTATAACATCTGTGGAAGGTAGATATGATACACGCCAGATCAAGTTTTGAAACTTGATCTGGCGTGTATATTTTAATGGCGACTAAGGAAAATAAATTAGTCTAGCTAAATGTGGTGTTTCCCGAAAAAATTGATCCCAGGACTGACAATTGATGTGAATATAAATAATGTTTATTGTGTGCTCTGGATCCCACGGATGTAATTGGTGATAGTGTAGACAAAGCGCACGCCCTTTTTCTATCACAATGCGGAAAGGAAACATATTCATTAACATTTCATTATTGGTGCCTAGAAGACAGACTTCTGTGACATTTAAAGGCAGTGCTTGACCAATTCTATAAACCTCAAGTGAATGAAATTTTACAAACCGATAAATTCCATAAACATGAACAAAATCATAATGAAAGTATTAAAGTAGTATTATAGACTTTATAGCGGCCATGGGCTCTCTGGCTTCCAGGTGTAATTTTATGGACTTTATGGACTTAAAAAGACAGCTACGGGACCGATTAGTGTTAGGAGTACGTGACGAGCGTCTCCGTCGCGAATTGTTAAAGACGAAAAATCTTACTTATCATCTTCTTCTTACTCAATTGTACTTAGCAGTACAATTGAGCCTTAACTATCAAGGCACATTCTCGGATTTGTACCTGGAAACAAGTATGCTGAAGCAAATTCCGTGCACAGATATAGATCTATGGATATTGGTAAAATTAAAGCGATCACATGTTGCCATTGTGCACGGTCGCACAGCGAATGCGAAAGGTGTCCTTTTATAAAAGCAAAATATTTTATTATAAGAAGTTTGGACATATTGCGCCGGCCTGTATGAAGAAATCTGGGAAGTTGCACCAGGTGGAGGAAAGTTCAACTTCAGATATAGAAATGAAACATCTGAACAGGTATATGGGTCTGCTCAGATAATATTCGACCACTATTTAAAGCAGATGTTATTATCGATGGTGTGAAGGTTAGCATGGAAGTGGACTGAGGTGCTTCAAGGACAATCATGGCTGAAGATACATACTATAAGCTGTGGTTAGTTCCCCCACCTCTGCCTCTAAAGGCAACAGGTGTGAAATGAAAAAACAGTGTCGTTAAATGTGCGAGTTGGTGCCTTGCCATGGTTTTTGAATGCACGTCCTGTACCGTTTCCTCTGATAAAACAAGTTGAGGAACAATTGACATGTATGGTGAATGACGGGATATTAACACCTGTAAAATACTCCAAATGGGCTACTCCATTAAGAATTGTAAAAAAGGTCGCTTCGAATATGTGGTGACTACCGATCAACTGTTAATTTAACCATAGAGACTGATACATTTCCATTACCAGCTGCAAATGAGTTTTTTTGTGAAATTAAGTGATGGAAGAATTTTTAGTAAGATTGATTTAAAACAAGCTTACATGTAGATGAAAGTGGACGAGGACACAGCTAAATTGTTAAGACTTAATACTCCGTTAGGGTTAATGAAGATGAACCTGCTAGCATTTGGAGTAGACGCAGCTTCTGGAATCTTCCAGCGTGTGATGTCATCTGCACTCGCAGGTATGGAAAGTCTCTGCTTTCTGATGATGTTTGTGCTGTTAGCATTTTGGCTTTTACAGCCCTATTGGACTCTGAGCTAAATAAAGGGTGAATTTTTATTACTCTGCATCGTTACTTGCATAACGATGACTCTGAGAACAGTTTACAGTACACGTTGTCTAACGGCCAACTCGTATCGTTCGATGTTCTGGGCGGTGAGAACCGCCCAAGGACGCGAGTGTACGGAGCGTATACAGGTGCGGTCCGAAGTGGAGGGTCACAGGGGACATGACCCCCCCAAAATCGTACACGTCAATTTGAAAAATGTAAAAATTACTGAAAGACTCTTCGCGATAATTATATATAGATAGTATAATGACTGACCTACAGGAACGACTTTCTGCGGATACGATGATGAACCTGTTCGGATTAGTCATTTTTATGCCAAAATCTGAATATACAGAAATAAATCTTCTTATTGTGAAGAAAGTATCACAATGTTATTCCCATTTCTTAGGTGTTCTTGCTGCCACACTCGTTACAGAGTATCAGTTATGTATTTCAAAGTGGAAACGGGAGCACAAAGAAAATACTGATACAAAATTTCCGAAGTGTTTCTACAATCGAAGTTTGCGAAGATGATCTCTACTCAAATATAAAAAGACTGCTGAAAATTCTGGCAACTCTTCCTATAAGCGGTGCGACATCAAAGAGCTCATTTTCTACGCTAAGGCATGTGAAAACTTGGTTGAGAGTAAATTAAAGCAAATGTTAGAAGAGAGGCTGACAGGTTTAGCTCTTCTAAATATTCATCCAGAGATAGCCCCAGACGTCTCGAATATTATCACCCAATTTGCCGATAACAATAGAATACGAATACTTCAATTTGTTTTATGTGTGCAATAAAATTGTGTATTGTGCAATAAAAATTATTGGCTGCGACCGCGCCTGCTTGGATGCAGCGAAAATCGATGCTGAGACTAAAAAAGACCCTGTACTATAAAAGGTATTATTTCATGTGCTACATAGTTGGGCTTGCAAAAATACTGACTCCACACTCCAGCCGTGTTGGACACAAAGAGACGCTCTTTCACGTAAAGTGTTAATTGTGGTGTAATAATCATTATACCCACTTCTTTACAACAACGGGTATTAAAGGTATTGCATGCACCGCATGCTGGAATGGTCCAGACGAAAGCTTATGCTAGAGGATACGTATAGTGTGTCGGTATGGACGCGCAGATAGTCTATGGTAACTGTCTGTGAGTTGTGTCAGGCCGTGAGAAACAATACACCGAGAGATCAACACACACGGGTTTTACCTGACAAGCCATGGAATCATGTCCATGTTGATTTTGCAGGACCGTTTTAAGGGAAGACCTTTTTTGTTATGACTGACAGCTATAGCAAATGGTTTGAAGCAGATATTTTATCAAATATGAGTAGTGAAGCTCTAATATCAAGTTGTCACAGGATTTTTGCTTCGCAGGGACTGCCAGAATAATTAATTTCGGACAACGGCAGAGCTTTCAGCTTTTTTTTTTTATAGGATTAGGGTGACAAACGAGCACACAGTCCACCTGATGGTAAGTGGTTGCTGTGGCCCATAGACATCTACATCTATCCTCTATTACAAATCAAAATGTAGATGCGTTGTCACCCGTGAGGACTAAGATGGAATGCCTCATTTCCAGTAAAAAGGGCCTCCGGCCACCTGCACTCACCAAGCGAAACGCAGAGGTAAACCTCTACTTCACGCTGGTTTTATGTGAGGTCGTGGTACCACCCCGGTTCGAGCCGGCCCATCCGTGTGACAGCAAAAGCTGCCGCGTGGCTCTACTACTGTTAACGTTTCAGCTCAAGGGAATTTAATAATTCCCTGCAAAACAACGGCATCGAGTACTTGTACTCACACTCATATCACCTGGGGACGAACGGACAAACAGACGGAGTACAGACCTTCAAGAAAAAGCTCAATAAAATGTCTGATACAAGGTGTATTGTGGACTGAGAAGCTACCTAGCGTGTTATACTCGCTCAGAACGGTGCCGAATCATCTCGGTAAAACTCCTGCAGAGATGTTGAATGGACGTAAATATAGAACTGCGGTGTTGGCGCTACATCCAGACAGCGGGCCAGAGCTCTCTGAGCGACAGCTGGAGGAGGCGGTGTAGCGTGTGGCCGCCCGAGACCTTCGCTCTTGACCAGCCAGTGCTGGTGTGCGCCTATGGGCCAGGAGAGAAGTAGCGACGCGTCACTATTGAGTATATCGAGGGTCCTGGTTGTTATAAGGTGAAAACGGAAGATGGACTGTAAATTCGTCAACATGTTGACCAAATACTGGTGAAATCTACTGCCGTAACCGATAACCAGACACCTGATGCTCTGCAAATACCTCAAGCACGTAGAAGATCAAATTCATCTTCGGGGTCTGACCCACCAATACAAATACCACCACCAGAAATGTAGCCTGTAATTATTGGCATATCAAGAACTGACTAAACTGTAATTACAATTTGGCAAAACAGTACAAATAAGCTATGGTTATTAGTGATTACAAACAAATAATGAATATCAATAATTAAAATGGTTTATTTTACCTTTAGTCCTATTGCATGCCGTAAACGCGAGGCACGTCAGTATGTTCTACTAGGGTCTAAAAATTAAGATTCCAACGTTTTGTCGCATGAAATCGTATCTAGCAATCATATTGTACATATAAGTGATATAAAAAGCACATTGTCAGAAAGATAAATGATTGTTGAACTTATTAATTTTTTTTTTTAAATCGATTAATTGCTATTTTTATATAAAAAAGGAGTTTTAGTGTCTTATGGTGTGGATTTATATTTACTAACAACTATGGATTTTTTTGCCCGAATTATTATTATATTATTATTATTATTATATCAATTCTTTATATTTCTTCTCTTCTTTGAGAGTTTGAAACACCGCACACACGGGTCCTAACCAAGTGTGTGAGGGGAAATTTAAATTGTAAAAGTGATGCGACAGGTGGTGAGGATGTGTGGAGAAGTGTAAGAGTAGGCATCTGTAGTGTGTTAAGGCTTTGTGTGAGTGATTTTGGTATAACACCGGTGGATGAGAGAAATATCGGGACGATGTGGACATTTTGTGCTTCTCATTGAGTTTTAATTTCTATGGCAAGTTTTTGATATTTACTTAGTTTTCCGGATATTGTAGTTTGAATTTCGGATATTGTTATGTGAGTTTGATATTGCTATATCTATCAGGTAAACCGTTTTATTGGTTTTGTCGGGAACGGTAATGTCAGGTCTGTTGTAATTAATAGTTTTATCTGTTGTAATTGTTCGGTTCCAGTAGATTTTCTGATTCTTACTTTCTAATATTGTTTCAGGTTTATACTTATAATATGGCTGCATCTTATCTACGAATTTATATTTGTATGCTAAATGTTGAATGATTGCAGCAACTTGGTCATGACGATGTTTATAATCGGTTTGTGTAAGTGATTTACATACTCCTGTAATATGTTGTATGGTTTCAGAGGCATTGTTGCAATGTTTGCACATGTCAGTCTGATTGGAGTCTTTTATGATGTATTTTATGTAATTGCAAGTTGGTACTATTTGATCCTGTATGGCAAGCATAAAACCCTCGGTCTCGGGTAACAGTTCCACTCGTTTGAGCCATTCGCTCGACTTAATCTCGATTCGATCGACGTGTGGCTGGCTCAGATAGGCTCGATGACTTCCATGTAGAGCTTTCTCAGACCATGCTGCGATCTTTTGTTGTGTTCCCATAATGTGTTCATTAATTTGCGTGCTTCTGTTCTGTAAGTTTTTTGTCTGTTTCCGTTATGTGTTTGTGTAAAGATGAGTGTACTGATTTGTTATGGAAGTACGCTCTGAGCGAAAGTATTTGTTTGTTGCGTAAATTCTGTATATCTACCAGTCCTCTTCCCCCTTATTGGCGTGGTAGTGTAAGTCTCTCTATGCATGATTTTTGATGATGTTTTCTGTTTAGTTAGAAATGTATTAAATGTGCGTTGTAGTTTTTTGATGTTTGTTTTTGACCATCGTATAATTCCGAAAGAGTATGTGACAATAGCTATTACAAATTTGTTGATGGCTTTAATAGTGTTTCTAGAGTTGAGGTTGGTTTTTAAGATAAGGTAAGGAATTCGTGTGAACTGTTTAAAACCTAAGTATTTGTATGTACTGTGTTCATCCAATGGTTTAATTGATTCACTTGAATTGAGCATGTAACTATTATTTTGAATCTTGCCTTTTACAATAAACAATATTTTGCATTTATCTACTCCGAATGACATATCTAGAGAAAATTGTTGTGTTGTGTCTGCTAGTTGGAATAGTGTATTTTTGTCTGCTGCATATAACTTTGTCATCCATGTACATAAGGTGTGTTAAGCAATATTGCGTATATCCTAACACACCTTGGGACTTAGGGCATCTCCTTGAAATATGGAGGATTGATTAACATTTAAGCACAGTTTGCCAATTTTGCATAGATGTTTCTAAGAATAGTTCCAGTGTCGGGTGAATTTTATACAGACTTAAGACATGTAATAATCAGCTATGCGGTACTGAATCGAAAGTCTTTTGGTAATCGATAAATATTGTGTGAATATCTTTCTTGCTTTTAACAGCGCTATTCAAAATAATTGCATCAATCGTAAGTTGTTCTTTACATCCTTGGCTATTCTTACAACATCCCTTTTGTTGTTCTGCTAGAATATTATTTTTGGTTAAATGTTCATAATATACTATTTCGCTTACGCAGGCTGTTAAGTATTTCGCTCGGTTTATGGTGTCATTAATGGGTATCATATATGTTACTCTTTTTTTTTTATTTTTTTTTTACTCTGTGTGTTATGTATGTTGGAAATAAATGTGGTGATTGGATGAATGTGTTTAAGTGGTTATATATGAATGGATGTATGCTGGTGAATCTTTTATATCAGTAGTTGTGAATATTGTCTGTGTCTGGCGATTACCAGTTGTGTGTGCGTTTGAGGACTTCTATAAATGTATCTATTGTAGTGTTGCCCAAAATCGGTCTTGGTCTTGTTCTTGCATTTTTGCAAGACCAAGACCAAGAACAAGACCGCCTCTTTTTAGCAAGACCAAGACCAAGACTGACCGTGCAAGATTTGCGCAAGAACAAGACTAAGCTTGCGAGACTCTTGCGTCTTGCAGTTAGGACTAAGTGTCGTTTCAGGGAGTATAGGAGTTCGGGTATACGCTTAGGGACTCTATGAGACGCAAAAAAATATAATGAAAAAAAATTGGAAAATTGGACTTATGCGCATTACGAACAATACCATAAACATACATAGCGAATGAAAATATCCATTAAAAGAAAAAAGAGTGCATCCCTAGTTTTGACCATCGGCACTTTGATAGTGCGCGGCGTCTTGTTGTCGGCGTCATCAAAGGTCGGATACTGACCTGTCAAAGAAATTGTGCAGCTATTCGAAAGTACAAGGTCAAGATACACGTGCCGGCGGCTACTATTGATATCGCATAATCGTCGCCGCCGCGCCACACGCACTACATTTGACACTGTTTGGTTGCCGCCACAGAGTACATGTTTCAAAGAATAAAATAAGTTTCCGGGTGCTCAGAATGGACACGAATACATTATCCTGATCTCGCAAAAAATATTGTAATTAGATAATAGGTAGGTATCATAATAATTAGTAAGTAATTATTATAAAATTAACTATATGGATTTATAATAATTACTTACTATTATTAAGTGGCGAAGCTTGCGAAGTCACTTATTGATTTCACGATGTCTGTCCGTCTGTCCGTCTGTCCGTCTGTCCGCCTGTCCGTCTGTCCGTCTGTCCGTCTGTCCCACGATTATCTCGAGAACGGTTTCGAATTTTCAAATTCTGTTTTCAGCAATAGATTACTGATCACCCAGGCATCTGAACCTCCTATTTTGAAACTGATTGCTCAACGGCAACCGTTAGAAACCGCTACAATTTCAAATTCTCAACAGACTGACACAGGGCATGTAGCATATCAATCGACAGGTCTTTAGAAAGATCAATGATTGTTGAACTTATTTATAATTTTTTTAAATCGATCAATTGCTATTTTTAAATTTAAAAAAAGGGTTTTAGTGGCTTATGGTGTGGATTTATCATGTCCCTGTGGCTTATAAACACGATAACTTTTGAAAATATCAATTGTTTAACTCAATCTATTTTTTAATCTCTTCATCTATCATGTGGGAAGCCACTGAATGTAAATGGCAGTGTAATTTTGTTTTGTTTAGCTATAATTAATTTTTTTCGGCTCCAAACAGGCGATATTTTCGTTGATTTGGTAGCCTCGTATATAAATAATTCCTGTAAATGGAGAGCTACAGCACTTTTACACAGACTTCGAACGCAAACAGTCGACTGATCCGTTTGTCTCAGTGCGATTAC